TGCCTACCTGACTGCTGTGCAGATTCTGCTAGGGTGTATCCCTAACAATGCCCACCCAATTGGCCATGCCCAATGAGTGGCATCAAGCTGGCCACACCCAGTCAGCCATGACCCTCCCAGTTCCCCTGAAATCAACAACAGCCCTGATGCAGCCCTCAATAGAATTGAGTTTGATAACCCTGTTCTATAAGAATGAGGATAAGCTATTGTAATACACCAATGTAAATGCCCTTTTATTTTTGAAGATTGATATAATAAGTAAATTCTTCTAGCTTCAGAGGACAATTAATTTCAATTGACTTTTGATGAATCTAGAATGACACATCCAACGCTAGTCCACATCTTTTGTCTTTTCCTTAATATTGACACTGGCTCTCTCTAACTTAGAACCAAGAGTACCCCAGAAAGAAATACTATTCCTGGACCCCCCAAGACAATTATAGAAGATGAAAAGAACCTCTCCATATAATGGATATCAAACCCAGGGAGGAGTTAATTCAACTTTGGCTAATGTGTTCCAGATATAACATTATTGAACATCATAATTTAGTGTTAGTCAATAAAGATTAGATGCCAAAGTTCCCCTGTTTAATTCCTGAAAGTGTAGTGTTAAGTGTAATGTAATCTTTGCCTAGGAACGTTTTGCTCAAAACGACCTACATCTATATTTTTATGAAGCATAGTCATTGTTAGCTTAGCATCACTTTAACATCTATTGGACAGATAATTTAAAATGTCAGAACAATTCTTGTTTACAATACTATAAAAAAGCCTGAAGGGCATTAAAAGACAACCATCCAATGGTACTGAAAAATATCAAAGGAATTACCTTGAAGGAAAGGGCCAGCAAAGAAGACGCCAAGAAGGCTGAGGCTGAAGTAAGTGAGGAGTGCCATCTTTTGGTTTACCTTCAAAGATAGAAAGGAACACTAAATAACTGAAGTGCATTCTTTAGTTGCCATTCTTTGGGATTGAAGAAAAGAAGAATATGTGTTTTTCTTCTTTTAAATTGCAGTTCCTATCCTGCTTTCAGCTTATTTGGATTCTGAAGAAACTATACATTTGATATGGTACAGAACAACATCTACTATATTTATGTTTTAGCAAGTTCAAGGAAATCATGCTGATTTCAGTAAGTTGACTCCAGTAGTGGGATTCAAATATTTTACTACTGGTTCTGTGGGCATGGCTTGATGGGCATGGTGTGACTTGCTGGGCATGGCTTGGTGGGTATGGCAGGGGAAGGATACTGTAAAATCTCTATTCCCTCCCCACTCCTGGGGAAAGGTTACCACCCCACTAACCTGCTTTCCAGCTCCATTCTCCTGTGCAGGACAACCAAAGAAGACCCAGCTGATCAGCTGGGATTTGGGAGGCAGAGAATAGATGGGGGCAGGGCCAGTCAGAGGTGGTATTTTCCAGTTCTCCTAACTATTCAAAATTTCCACTACCGGTGCTCCAGAACTGGTCAGTACCTGCTGAATACCACCTCTTGTTGACTCTACATAGGGTAAACCTGAATCCATTGTCTATGAAGATTCTCAGTCATCCAAGTCATGGTTGTCCCAAAGGTGTTTTTTCAAAAGCCAACTGGACTTTGTTTTTCCTTGAAGACTTTTCACTTCTCATCCAAGAAACTAACTTGAAGAAACAGATTGGATGAGAAGCAAAATGTCTTCAAGGAAAAGCACAGTCCAGTTGCTCTTTGAAAAAACACATTTGGGACAACCTGGACTCAATGATCCTAGCAGAACACCATGTACTTCAGATCTTGCCCCAGATCTCTCCTGAGTAATTTATTTTATAAATTTTAGAGCAAAGTTATGAATATGGTCAGACATTACAAACAAAATTATGGTTATGTCTCATATTATACATCAGGGCAGCAATGTCAGGAATATCAGTTTCTTTCTTAACCTGAGAAGAAGCTACAACTAATGTCAACTGCCAGAAATATAGACATGTATTACAGAATATTTTTTGTGTATAGTCTTTTTCCATGTATTGAAATGCACTGTAAATAAATATCATGAATTAAGAGCCTAGTGTTCTTATGGAAATGAAGTTTTGCATTTGATTTCTTATAAAGTTGCAGTTGCTTTTCTCTTTGAGACACTGAGAAGCAGATATTGTAACTAAACCAGGTTAATAAAACTTCTGCTATGGTGAGAATATAACTTTTGTTCATAGTTCATTGTTCATATGGAAGGCCTAAAAGCATAGCTGTGATAAGACCTTATCACTGCTATGCTTTTATGCATTCCGTATCTGGTTCTGCTACACTATAGTGTGCATCTCTTCAGCCACTCACCTTGCGATATTCTTCTCCTGGACGGGCAGAAGTAGTGGGCAGCTGAGCTGGATCTCTCTCAGATGTTCTCTTGCTTTCTGAGCAACAGTTATATACAACCCAGGGAGACATGGTGCAACACTAATGACCTGAGTCCTTCAAGGAAATCCTGATCCGTCCTTTTCAATTTTGCATAAATAAAGGCCAAAGTGGCAGGAAGTAGTTCATGATCATGTAGCACGGAAAAAGGGCATTATCTTTTACTTTAGACATGTAAGTATTGCTAAAATAATCCCTTTGACATAATCCTTGAGAAGAGTTGTCAAATGAAGAATATCAAGCATTTTTTCATTTTCTCATTTCATTGATACTTAATTCCAGATATTAGCTTGGTGGGAGCACAAGATTTCTCTAATCCACTGCAAGACCCTATTTTTGTGCAACGCCCTGGTTTAATATTTTCCACACAAGACTCCTTCTTCTTCCTTCTCCTTCTTCTCCATCTGTTTTGCATTTCTGCTCACAGCTACCCCCAGAATGTCTAATGACAATGAAGATGATGATGTTATCCATTCCATCTGACTCTTGGCAATTCTATGGGCCAGGTCTCTCCACATCTTTTGATCTTACTCTATTTCTTTGAGTTTTTCTATTGTCTGGCTGGTGTCAGCTTTGATAGTGTTGAGTAACGGCTTGGTTTTCTTTACTGCTAACTGTTCTAAACATAATGGCTTTATCCAGTGAATTCTGCCATGTGGCCAAAGTAAATGAGACACAATTGCATGATTTTGCCTTCTAGTGAGGCTAAAAACATAACAATACTAATGAAACATAGGACACAGAAAATCAAAATCAGATGAAAACAATTAAAATTAATTCAAATAATTGAAAAGGCCTAGCTAATAAACTCATCATTTCTCATTTAAAAACAGAATGAGTTTATGCTGTGCATTGGGTGCAACTGTTGAAGAAGCAGATTTTATAATTTAGGAAGACACATTCCTGGGCCTGAGAAATAAACTGTGGACATATTAAAAATAGGCTTACCATCCCACAATAATTTCCAGACAGGTTCATTATTTCAGACAAATTTCAGTCTTTTTAGGACTTCACAACTCAAAAATATCTTAAAGGTCAATCAGGAGAACAACCATCAACAAATTCCATGTTTTGATATGAGTGAAATAAATTCTATTGTGTATTAATTGGCAACCTGCTAACCACATTTTACAACAACAAAGTTTTCAAATATTCTTTAAGGATTACACCATGTAGAGTCAATTGCATTACCCAAGACACTGGTGTCTCATTTTAGAGTTACTGCAGCCAGTGAATTAATTATAATAATACTTTGTTCCTCAAATGGAAGAAAGTGTTCGCTACTGGATTTGTTTATATATTCTTCTCTTGTAACCTCTTTTCTCCTCACATTTTAAGGATGGGTAAAAATATTTCTCTGTGCCAAGAGACAACTGGACTTAGAAGAGCTCCTTAGGAGTTATTTGACAAAGGAATTCAAACATAGCCAGGTTCTTCAGGCAATGTCAAACGCTATTGATATTTAGGAAACAATACAGGCTTTATAAAGTTACTAAAGATAGCACAAGCCAATAAAGATCTCCATCAATTATCTGCATATAGTCTTAGATGTAAAGAGCTTTTCTTTGGAAATTAGCTCAGATTTTCACTCTTGATAATTGTTTGCGAATTGATTGCCTCTGGACATTTGCTTATATATGCATGAAAGTCGGACACACTTTATATATTTGAGATAAGCTTGAAGAATTTACTTCAATGTGAAACTAGATAAAAGCAGTGATTCATGAGCCTGTACACTCTGTATTTAGGTTTTCAAAGATTACACATCTGATTAGGGGGACAATATCAAAACACCAAGGAATGTCAGGAAGTATAGGCAAATGAACATTGGATTGCACAGAGAAACATTTAGCAACTTTTTGTGAATAAAGGATTATTCATGAGTAGGATGAAGTTTCTCCAGATAACTATGCTTTCCTGCTATTGGTATCTGGATATAGTTCTAGGAATTCTAGCTTGACAATTCTGTTTAACTCAGTTTCTAAACTAAATTGTCTTTTTGATCAACAAAGGTATTTTTTTGGATTTCCGGTATTTGAACTCTGATTGTAACTCTGATTAAACCAGAGTTGGCTTATTGTTTGTTGAAATTGCCTTGCAGACTGTGGTTTGTTTCTTGATTCTTCTTCGACTCCAATGGAGTTTTCTGTTCATTGCATTGAGAACTCTGTAGCAGAACAGAAATCCAGGCCAGATTTTATGTCTGATGGTTGACAGGTCCATAATGATCACAGCCTGTTACATAGGTAGATGATTATGTGTAAATTCAGTAATTAAGCAATCAGCTTCCCCCTGTTTTAATATTTACATAAACCATCCTTGATGGTATCTCCTAGGATTATGATGGCAAAACTATGGCATGCAGAGCCATCTCTCAGGGCATACCAGCTGTTGCCCATTGCTCTTCTAGCTGGCCAGCTGGTCTTCACATGTGGGAATGCTGGAAACTGGAAGAGCAGCTCCCTGGCTGCTCCCCGGTTTCCAATGTGCCAGCTGGTCTTTGCACATGCATGCATGCCAGAAACTGGAAGACTAGGTGGCCAGCATGCATGCGTACGCCAAAAACTGGAAACTCAGTTTCCTGGTGTGTGCATGCACACCAGGGAAGCTACTCTTCTGGTTTCTGGCATTCTTGCTTGTGTGTCAAGGAACTGCTCTTCCAGTTTCTGGTGCTCCCACATGTGTGCATCAGGGAGCTGCTCTTCCATTTTTCCGCATTCCCCCGCGGCATGCTCCGGTTTCAGCACGAGGTACGGAAAAGGTTTGCCAACACAGTCCTAGGACATTTACAAACATTTTGCCTATAAGAACAATCCTTCTACCTTGCAAGAATTCATCTATCTCATGTAGCCAGTTCATTCTCTTCCCTGGATTTTCCAACATCTGTGGATGTTATTAAAGATATCTAACTTGTGAACAAAGATTAGTGGTGTAAAGATTCTTACCCAATGTTGTAAACTGAAAGATAATCACAAAAGGTGAAACTTCCTTTTTTTTTGACAGTTCATGATATGAACTGTCAAAGGGGTTTCCCTCCAGACTGATACATTTCCTGGTGGCCTTCAAAAGCAAGCTGAAATGGGAAACAGTGTTACAACTCAAGAATGATATTTGCATGTATATGTAGTATTTTACTACTCTCTCTTAAGATCACCTTAAGTTTTGCACTATAATGAAAGAGCAATAGTTGCATAAGTGGTATGAGACATAGTCAGCTGCAAAACCTCTCAATGTATCTTCTCCTTCAACTTCCTTTTCATCATGTTATTTTGCCTTTGGTTTTTTTTTATATAGCACTTTGCTTTTTATTTTCAAAAGACTTTTCATCTAAAAAAAGAATCTATTGAGCCCCAGAGAAACTACCAATGTTTAGTTTGGAGCTATTCAGTTCTTCAATTTTAAAATAAAGATCACAAAGATGAATTATTTTTAGATAAAAGAATGACTTATTGGATAGACAAATTTAGAAGACCATCTTTTCGGTGACTCACCATTGGGCATGGTGCC